ATAAATGTTTCCCGAGATCACAAATGTGCAACGCTTTGTAAGCACTATACAAAAATAAGAGTTTACGACAGGAAGAATCGCACTTCCAGTGTCCTCCTAGTCAGCACAGCGATGTCAAGCAAACCTCATCATTTGACTGACAAACAGGCTGGAGGAGAAAGACCGGAGCGCTGGTGGGCGGATCTGCCAGGGTGCCCTCCCATGCTCGCGCTGAAGTCGAGAACTTTTCAATGTCCTGGTCCAGGACAAAGTGAAGAAACCGGAGATAAAACAATGGTTTTCTGAGCATGCGTACAGGGCCGCTTTGTAAGCCTCATTAATTTCAAGGCGGACAACCCTCGCAGGTGCCTCGTTAGCGCAGTAGGTAGCGCGTCAGTCTCATAATCTGAAGGTCGTGAGTTCGATCCTCACACGGGGCACAATACTTTTGTTACCTCCAGGTCTACGCTCCGGCTGGAAAGACGGTTTTATTTACTCTTCTGTGGACCAGGAGACCCTGGGCGACCGTACTTTTTCCACTCTGGGGTCACCGGTGTGTCGGCCTACGCTCGGCTCGGCCTGTCCTCCCTGAAATACACGGGCCCGGAAGCTTTAACCGGCCCCTAATCTCCCTACTCGGCCCCGCTGCACCGTCGGCTCCTGGCGTTCTGGGCGGCAGTTGGAGAACTGGACGGAAGTCCGGGGCGGGACGATGAGGGGGGAACCCCTGTAGAAGATAGCGCCCACGTCGGGTGGGCGGGACCCGGCCGAACCCCTTAGGAAGAGCCCCACGCTCACGCTGCGGCCAGGGGGTTCACGGGAAAGGCGCCCCCTGCTGTCACGCCGTCCACCCTTGGTCCTGCCCTTGCCCTTGAGCACTGGCCGTCGCTGGAGTCGCGCACAGCCCGGGGATGGGCCGTAGCCCCCGGGTGCTCCCGGTCCTCCCGGTCCTCCCGGTCCAGGAGGGCGCCGCGTGCGCCGCTGGGTGCAAGGCCCCCTCATGGAGGCTCCAGAGGAGCGGCTGGGACACGAGGCCCTGGGGAGGGGCCGATTCCTGGCACCTGACGCCAGGGAAGTGTTGCGGGGACTGTAGCAGGTGGGTGCCGCGCGATGAGAGGCCAATCATGGGCGCTGAACACGGGAGCAGTTTGGGGAGCAGTTTGGGCGGTGGAGTTGGGAAGTGGCCGGACGAGGCAAGGTCTGAGGGAGGGGGTTTCAGGGAGGTCCTGCAGTCCCTCCTGGGACATAACACGACAGGGCTGCGCAGATCCTGCATCCGAAACGGTTGCTCAGTTGCAGTCACCACGGATTAAGTTTCTGACAATTCAGTCATTCCACAGAGATGTGAGAGCTGTAACCACCCCTCCAACTCTCAAGGTTTTGCTGATGGCACTAATCTCTGCATCTCTCTCCCACCAGGGATGCGACAATACTTTTGGTTTACTATCTTAGTAAGGAGGACCTTCCAGGGGCTTTCACTTGGTTCTTTCTACCATAATGACCCTTCCTCAATGGGACATAGTGTCCGTGTGGAGTAGCTGCCTTTGCCGAATGTATTTATTCAATTATAAATTCAGGTACTCAGAGAATAACCGCAGTTGGTTTCATGGCCTCACTGTGTCCGCTGTAATTCACACTTGGTCCAAGACTCCTTCATCGCCTGACCACCGTCAGCCCTGACTTTAGAGGGCTATAGTCATTAGTGTCCATTCAGAGCCAATGTCTAGTAATCCCTAAAAGCTCCAGTGTCTTCATTCAAGCAAATGGCTACAGGTCCCCTCGGGAAGGCTGGGGGATTATTACAGCATATACATGTGGCATCACTGCTGCAGGATCCTTCCTCAGGGGGACCTGGCTCCCCACTCCATCAAGAGGCTTTGGATCTGGAAGTGACTTTAGGTCTGGAAGATGGGTAACAGGCATGGCTCTCCAACGTGGGGACTCCAGTCAGGTTTTCCGCCACCAGATCTGAAGTTTTTCCTGTTACGTATATCAAGCAGTATTTTAGTAGGCTGCCTATCTATTTCACTCTTAGGGACATATAATCAATTACCAGGAGCCGAACATCCTTCCCTACTACTTCTCTGCTGCCCTTCACTGGGAATGGTTGTCCTTGGTGGTTAAATGCTGCTGCTTGGCCTCGGCTACTGTGGAATTCCATCATCCCCACTGAGGTCAGGGAGCATATCAATGGTGGCTCCCTGTCACATGTCACCAGTAGAGGAGAGCCACCACAGATATTCCCTTCACTCAATGCCTTAACAAAGGGAGTGTCTTTGGGCTGAGCATGTAGTTGGGAGGTGAGCGAGAAGTTCATATGATAAATCCACTTGTGCATTCCTACCTTCCTAAGCCTTTGGATAAGTCCCTCCACATCATGTCAGGAAAATTCTGGCATGTCAATCTGATTAGATAGAGGCCAACACTGAGCCCATATTTCTGTCAAGCAACCAAGTAAACTGTTAGAGCCACTTCGAATTGCATGCGTGTGACAGTCATCAACTTATTGCCTCTCGGCTCCAATGCACTCTTCAGTACTTGCTCCCCCAAACAGTCCCACCCAACTCTTCAAGCATTTCTCTTCATGGTATGCACCCTTAAATTGTCAGTAGAGGGTGCTGGAGGACAGGGCAGGCGGAATGGGCGTCTCTTCCCAGCTCCAGTGTGCTGTTTTGCTAATTCCTGTTCCTGCGTTATAGTCCACCTGCTGCATGAGTGTGTGGTGGGGACACCCGATCGTGCTCTGTCCTAGCAGTGTGCCCAGAGTGCAATCTTAGTGACTTCACATCCTCAGCCTGACCAGTTCACCGCAGCTTCGCCGCAGTCCTCCCAACGTATCCTAGGTCTAGTGCCAGTGGCAGTGCCCTGAGACGCACTCTGAGCACCGGCCTTCCAGCCTTGGTTTGCCTGTGCCCCAGAGGGGTGGTTTCCGGTGGCCTTCCTGACATGGACTGTGCTGGCCAGTGTACACACCACCCTGACCGCTCTCAGGTCCTGATGCCCTGACTCTCTATGCGCCTTTACCCAGCAGCCTCGGATTGCCTGCAGCCCAGACTTACCTCCCGAGGCCAGGGAACTGTGACCCAGCATTGGCCTGGGAAACCGAGCCAACGCCCCCGCTATCCAGTGGTCTGCAACCACGCCTTCTCCCGCCGGGTCTGAACCTGAGCCTTGGGGAAGGAGGGGCCTCCCTTCCAAGCTTTTCCTTTCTTTACTCGCCCTCAATCCTAGGCACTCTTCAGAATTCTCTTTACATCTATGTGTACTTACTCCTCTATCACAGTTTAATAACTCTTTACATTAAACTTTTCCTGCTCAAATTATCGTGTGGTTTGTCTCCTGATTGGACGCAGACTGATGAGATTAAACATCAAGTCCAGAATCTGTAGTGAGTGCACCGCACTAATAAATCAAGCCTTTGGCAATCCTGGTAGTAATCGTCACTGCCATAACGGTTAGCAGGGAATTGCTGTGGAAAAGCCTTCGGCAAATGCTCAAATCTTGCTCAGCATCAGAGAATCCATACCAGAGAAAAACAGTATGAATATACCGAGCAAAGGCCTTTAACCAATCTTTTCAACACCACTGAATTCATACTGGACGGAAACTCTTTAAATGTCACCAATGTGAAGAGGGATTTAGCTAAAACCTCCAGTTGATTCAACACTGCACAGTTCACACCAGAGAGAAACCTTACGAATGTAATAAATATGGAAAGGCCTTTCAGGAATGCTCTGCTTTCACACACGCAAGGGAGTACTTGAGAGAAGCTTTTGAACGCAGCCAGTGTGAGAATTTTAGCCACGCTCAAGCTTTATTCAGCTCCCAGAGGATTCACACTGGAAAGAAATGGGGGTAAGGCTGAGGAGAGCAAAGCCGAGAAGCAGGAAGAGATAATCAGAAATGCATTTCGTGTTTCATTAAATGCGATAACCTTTAAAATGCCAACCGAGCACATACGGCCAAAGAGATTTAGTCAAGTATCTGAGATCTGCTAAGGCAGGGACTTTATCAAGATTAGTGTTGGGAGAACTACAGGCTCAGAGGAAATGGAATGGTATAAAGAACTGCATTTGGGTGAGTATAACTCAGTTTTACTGAATGAACAGAACCTGTTTAAAAATGAAATTTTATACTATAAAAGTGGTATGTGCGCATGCGTGTGTGTGTAGTTGCAAAACGAAGCTGAGTAAGTATACATCACAGTAAAAGAGATGAAGTAGAGGTGAAAAACGCAACCTACAGCTGATCCCAGGTGGCAGAATCACAGCATTTCATAATTTGAAAGCCCTTAGTGAGCCAATTCTAGTTCACCCAAGTTCCCATTGCACCCTGTTATTTCACATCCTGTGACTTCCTGTTGCTGAACACACCGGCCTGACCCATCGAGGCGTTTGTAACTGCCTGAAAATGAACAGGAAACTGGGCCGGGGAAGGTGCTCTTGGGAAACCAATGCCTTACACAGTGATGGGATTTTACTTTAGAACTCTGACTCTTGGACAAGAGAGCACTCTGCTTACTGAGAATATCTGGGTTACCATCAGATTGTTTTTAGACTCAGATAAAAAAGAATTCCTACTATGTATGGCACATTACTGTCAAGCCCTGTCCCAGGAACTTCACGTACGTTACCTCGTGTCATCCTCACATCGAGTGCACGAGCTACTCCTACTCTCCTCGTGGAAACAGGTTCAGAGGAGTAATCTGCCCAAGATGACGGCACCGCCCTGTCGTGGAGCTAAGAGCCAGAGAAGGTGGGAACGGCTGGTGCTGTCAGGAGAGGCAGAGACAGAGACACCGATGTTATTATGACCGTGGTGGGGTCACTGGTGACGAGGAGCTCCCGCTGCTGGGGGACAGTGCTCTAGAGTCCCTGCTGAGTTCTCTCTTGGTCCTGGTTGTACAGGTGTTGAGATGGCTTCCTGCTCTTTATCTCTCGGTGTATCTTTCAAATAAACTCTCTTCAACTAGTGACTGAGGTTTATGCTGGTTTGTGCTACCAGAAAGAGCCTAATGCAAGTTTTAATAGTTTCAAAATGTTTTTTATTGTGAAAAGTACAAGAAGCCATTTACAAGCCAAAAGCATCAGAATTAAATAGAGCACATAATTTTTATACACACAGTTTTCTATACAAAAGGTTGATCTTTATAAAAATGTAAAATAAATAGTCTAAAAAATCAGTGTCATTGATTGCAAAATAGTCATCTCCCTCCCTGACTCTCTCAAGGTCACCAGCCTCCTATGTGGCCAAAAGACGAGGCGTCTGGCATCTGCTACGAGCCTGGGCCGTGAGTCTCCGGCGAAGATTTCTCACTCTCTCCATGAGATCCCGTTCCATGGCGTCCCACTGCATTTTTCTTTGGTTTAAAGAAGCTTGAAAACAAAATTTAAAATGAACAATAGTTTAATTTTCTGATGCTAGCAATGATACAGCATCTATATTAAAGGTAAATGTGTTGTAAAAATCAGTAATGAAATGAATATTCTAAAAACCAAATTTTTTAAACAAAAGCCTGACATATTTATTACCTGGTCCTATGTGGTTCTATTTAAAAGTCAAATATTTATTTGTTGAATTAAATGAATGCTATCAGATAAATGATCTGCTTTTGGTTATTTAGCATTTTTTTTTTTTTTGATTTGGAGATATAGACAATCTTTTAAATTAAAAACAAGCTTGTCCAAGAGTGAATCTGAGTTCTTTGCAACAGCAAGTTTCCTCACTCGTTTGCTTAATGTAATGAAAAAAGGCATTTCAAGTTGCCAATTAATACTGTACACACCATTACTACTTCCCAACGATTAAATAAAAACAAACCAAATGCTTTTCATAATGGCTAACACAGAGAGAGTACAGGATCAAGATTAAAATATTATAATGCAGGGGTCCCCAATTCTCAGGCGCGGACTGGTACCCGTCTGTGGTCTGTTAGGAACCAGGCTGCACAGCAGGAGGTGAGCGGCAGGCCAGCGAGCAACAAAGCTTCATCTGTGTTTGCAGCCGCTCCCCAGCGCCAGCATCACCGCCTCAGCTCCACCTCAGATCATCAGGCATTAGATTCTCATAGGAGCACCGGTCTCTGGTGCCAAAAAGGCTGGGGACTGCTGTTATAACGTATCCAAGTATAAGAGCCATTACATACTGATTTAGAGAGGCTAACTAGTACATACTGGAATTTGAAAAATGAAGCGCCTTAAAAATACACTTCTCACCCAAACTGCTTCAATTTCTGAAAACTATTTTTCCCATATGAATACAGCTTTTATGCTTTTTTTGTTTTGCTTCTAAATAATGTAAACTTATCAAATGTCCTCAGTTAATTTTCAAATTTAGAATTATCTAGTTAAAAAGTTCTGACGTGTCAGAACAGAGAACAGTTGAGAATCTCTTGTACTTTCATTTGTACTTATGCATGACTTTTGGTTTAATTCCTATTCTGACACAATTTATAGGTGCATATAAGAGTATGAGTTAGCAAAAATATTTTACACAACACTGGATTCTCATCACTTATTATTAGGTATATTTCTTATAAAGCTGGGGACATTAATGGAAATTTATCCTTCTAAAAGAACTCAAAAAGAAGACCTTGTTAAATTCTGTTCGTCTATATAATAGTTTTACTGAAAAAGTCAACTAAAATAAAGTCTAATGGAGCTTCTTGTCCCCTCCCCCACTTTTAAAAAACAAATCAAGTACTTTATAGGGAAAATTGTTAGCTCCTTTACGGGCCAGTGCTGTGGCCAGTGCTGTGATTACATTTCCGTAAGATATTTCTACCCCACTCCTTACAAAAATGAACAAAAACCTCCAGTGAATCAAGTCAAGGGATCAAAAGTCAACTCGTCAGCATGAAGCCATTAGCCTTCAGCCGTCCGACTTCAGCTGTGCTGGCAGCGCCCACAGCGAGCACGTGCCTGCAATGGTTGTTGGAGGGAGCCCAGCCCAGAACAGAGTCAAGAAAATTCAAGTAGGTAATAGCCTTGAAAACTAAGGCTGAGATTTTCTTTTCACAAGGAAGTAAAACAATTATGAATATCACTAATTTAGTTGGTGACTGACTGCTATCGGAGCCTCCAACTACATACTATGGCCGGTGGTGCTGGGGCCGAAGAAATGCAGAGGCATTAATGAGTCTGGCAAACTTTCTTAACTTGGGTTTCAGTCTGACCCAGTCTTTTCCCCCAGCGGGAAATCTGGGCTTCTTGCTGCCTCCATTTGAGGACTTCCATGATCGATGCTCCGGGAAAATGGCATCGACGTGCTATAAATGTAATTCAAGTCATGACCCTGCTTAAATAGTGCTAAATTTAAAATAACAGAAGAAATATTTGTTTATCAACTTACTCCAAGTCGAGGAATCCACTTCAGAAAAATCGTTTAGTTGTGAGGTTTTAGGCAAACAGCTTGAGGCAACCTGTTCATTCTGGCATCTGGGCACTACTGTTATAAAAGTGAGAAGATAAAGAGGATGTCTGAGAGTGAGTAGAGCCTTTACCAATTCCCAATGGTCTCTAGTATGTTAAAACTGCCAAGGATAAAAAGCCCTTACTTTTCTATTCTCAGAATATGACACTATTCAAAAGGCAAGGAAAGCGCCTTTAGAACTAACAGCTGAGTGGATGTTCTAGTGAAGTACTTTAAAAACACTGTTAGCTAAAATAAAAAACCAACAAACAACTCAAAAATATAGATGTTAGAATAGAGATCCCAGATGTTTATTGGAAGAGATTATGAAATGTGATGAGCAAGCCCTCCCCGAGTGCTACGGTGGCTGCTCACCGCTGGCTTTAACCAGGCAGGGCCTAGTTAGAACCCTCGGCGACAGGCACGTTTCTCCTGACACCTCCTAGGGTAGTAGCAGGGCCGTGTTCCACACCAACTGGTACCTCCCCTTATTTTTCAATCAACTGCTCCCCTCATTTAAAAATTTATATTCATCCTTCTGCTGTATTTTTACTGTTCCCGAATTCCTACAGCTTTACATGAAACCAGACACCAGAGTCTTTGAATTTTCATCCTCACGTCACTTACAACTGTCCCTTCCTTTCTGCTCCCATCGCTAGGGTCCAAACCCTCGTGAGTCAGGCCCAGGCTGTTTGGGTCACACTGACTCATTAAGATGCCTGCTTTCACCTAACCTCAAGGGCTTTAGCTAAGGGTCTTAACTCAGTTTTAGCTCCATGAGTCATTAAGACAATTTGACTAATTACCAAATGACTAATCTGAACTGGTGTGGAAGTGGAATGTGACAGCTATCGCCAAATCTGAAGGGCTGTCATGGGGCAGCGGTGGTAAATGTGATCCGCATTGCTCCAGAGAAGTTTCTAATGAGAGAATTAAAAAAAATAAAAATAAAAAGAAAGAAAGAAAAAAGGAAAGGAAAGAGAAAAAGGAAAGGGAAAAAAAAAAGATTCAACTTTACGTAAAGAAAAAATAACTTTTAGGTAAAATACTGGCAGAAAATGGAGTGAGGAGCTCGCCAGCTCTGAGTGCTCCGGAATGGGCTGGATGACCCTGCTGCAGAGATGACTCACCTATCAGATGCTGGGTCTTCAGCTCCTCCCAAATCTGAGATCTCAGTTCCCTGTCTTTCATCTGTCCTCCTGAATCCATCCTGCCCACAGCTGTTTAAGTCATCTTCCCAAAGGGCCATGTTGTGCATATCATCTGTTCAAACAGCTAACGGTCCCCCTCGGCCCACAGCAATGTTCCAGTGTGTCCTTGGCACACTCTTACGTCTCCTACTTCCTGGTGCTGCCTTTCCAGGCCCCGAGTGGCAAACCAATGCTCAGCACCTCCAATCAAAATGCCATCTTCCCAATTACAGCTGATTATCTCCCAGTTTTAGGATTAAATGACTCCGGTTTAATTTATACACCCTGATTAAAGACATACCAAATCCTTACACGGTTACTTTTTGAAAAATGGATGATTATTAACCAAGTTCTCATTCGTGAAATTTAGTAAAGTTAAAAACAACTGAGTCAGCACGGCAGGAAGCAGCAGGGACGCGGAAGGGCCGGCTCGTAGGAAGGCGACTGATGAGAGCAGCTTTTTGCAGTTTCTTCTCTTTTTCTATTCCCAAATCCGTACGTTCTCTAAAACCCTGAAATTTTTTTTCTTTCTAAAGTAGGGGTAAGTGTGACAGGGATAGGGAGAAGCGGCAGCTCCAGTATCTTTTGCGATCTAACTTTAAATAATTTGTGCAAAGAGTCACATTCTACTCTCCCCACTTTCCTCAAGTGCTCTGCTTGCTATCTGGGACCTAAATCTAAAGCGTAAGAGGTGTCTACGGCCATGCCACCCTGAACAAGTCCGATCCAAGTGTAAGAGGTGTCTACACTTCCGATCCCGTCCGATCTCGTCCGATCCCGTCCGATCTCGGAAGCTAAGTAGGGTCGGGCCTGGTTAGTACTTGGATGGGAGACTGCCTAGGAAGACCAGGTGCCGTAGGCGTAAAAAATAAAAAAATAAGGGATTGTAAGCTGACAAGGTCCTTGCAATCTGTGAGGTCAACCAAGGGTTGCCTTGCCTAAAATAAAACAAAACAACCAAACAAACAAAAAAATGGCCATGCCACCCTGAACGTGCCCGATCTTGTCTGATCTCGGAAGCTAAGCAGGGTCAGGCCTGGTTAGCTTGGATGAAAGACTACCTAGGAATACCAGGTGCTGTAAGCAATAAAAAATAAAATAAATAAAGTGTAAGAGGTAATGAGGGGTTTCAAAAGTAGGCAGAATTCAATGATGACAGCTTCTAACCTATATTTTTACTTTTTAAATCTGTGTATTATCAAAGTCATGCACATAGTGGCATTATTCATAATTCCCAAAATGTGAACACAAGCCAAATGTCCACCAACTGATAAATGGATAAAATGTGGATCATCCATACAACGGAATATTATTGGCGATAAAAAAAAATGAAGTACTGATACATGTTATGACATGAATAAACCTCAAAACAGTATGCTAGGTGAAAGAAGTCAATACAAGGGACAATATTGTATGGTTACATTTATATGAAATTTCTTGACTAGGCAAATCTATAAAGACAGGAAGGAGGTTAGTGGTTGCTGGGGTAGGGGATGGGGAGAGTGACAGGAAAAGGGGAATCACTGCAAATGGGTATGGGGTTTATTTTGGGGTGCTGAAAAATTTCCTAAAATTGATTGTAGTGTGACTGTATAACCGAATATACTTTTTTAACATATGGTAATACAATACTATTGAATTATACACTTTAAATAGGTGAATGTGAATTACATATCAATATGACTGATAGGCTGTTATTTAAAAAAGTAATAGATATACATTATAAAAGACTCAAACAAATTTAGTAAAAGTACTCTATTTTAGAATTACAACTTTGATTTTTCAGTTGATGCCATTATAAGCCTTGCACCAAAAGCTAATGTTTGATTATATCCTCTAAGTTTCCTTGTGCCACTTTAATATACTATTGTTTTAAGGATCAGCTATTGGCAAAGTACAGATTTTTACTAAAAAAAGCTAGAAATAGCACTTTGGGAACAAATCACACTCGAGTACACTAAGGGGGTGCCAAGGACCATGCCATCATGCAATCAAACAATTCTACAGGACAGCTGGGAAATTTTTCTTGATCGGAGCTGTTTTTAATGCTTCAGCCCACTCTTTCTGACCAAAAAAAATGGTGACTAGTGATTACCTTTTAGCTGAGCAATAATTTGAATAAAAGTGCCAAAATATACTTGCGCAAGGATTTATCCATGAGAACAGGCCATTTTAAATGAATGCTTCTCTAATGTCGCTGAGGGAAGGGCATTCGTGGGTACTCACCTTTATCATACAGATGCGGAGCATGGTCCAAAGCATCGTCTAACTCCTTCTCTAGAAACCACTTTCTAGATGCATCTGAAAGAGCAGAAGCTTTCTTTTCTGATTTCAAACAAAAGTCTTTTTCTTCAGCTTCCTCCCACTAAATACAAATAAGTGAAAGAAAATCACATAAAAACTGTGGTAATGTGAGTTCCTGCAGTGGAAGACGCCTTGTGTTTTTTCTACTGCACTGCCTTTTATACTCCCAAGGCACGGAGGGTCTGTTTGGTGTTAGGGTAATTTGGGTGTCTGCCTTGGCCCGAGGCCCTTCTGATGTTCCACTCGGTACCTCAGAGTGTCGTGTGCCCACAATACAGGTCCCCACTGTCATTGAAATAAGCATTCATTTCAATACATTTTAAAACTCAAATCTTATGGGATTAAGCTAGTTTTTTAACTTAATGGCAACTATTTCATTTAATTTGAGTGCTATGCCTTAATAATAAAGTCTACAAAATTCAGACAATGAATTCTTCTTTCTGCCATTTTATTGAGAAATAATTGATATATGTCACTGTGTAAGTTTAAGGCATACAGCATAATGGTTTGATTTATATATATTGTGAAATGATTACAACAGGTTTAACTAACATCCACCTTCTCATATAGAGACAATAAAAAGAAAAGAAAACAAGGAAAAATTGTTTTCCTTGTGATGAGAAATCTTAGGATTTACTCTCTTAACAACTTTCCTGTCTCTCACAAGCAGTGTTAGCTATGGTCAAGTTATGTGGAATGAATTCTTTGTCCAGCTCTGGTATGCATAATGACTACATAATAAAACCTACTTTCATAGATGGACCCAGAGGTTATTATGCTAAGTGAAAGAAGCCAGACAAAGATAAATACCATATGATTTCACTTATAAGCAGAATCTAAGGAACAAAAAGAACAAACTAATTGAAAACACAAAAATAAAGGACAATCTGGTGACAGCCAGAGGGCAGAGGGTTGGGGACTGGGAGAATGGGGTGAAGGGTTAAAGAAGTACAAATTAGTAGTTGATAGATGGTCACAGGGATGGGCATAGGCCATGCAGTTAGCATTAATGTACTGGCTAGGTAGAGAGCCAGAGGGGAGAAAGAGCAATTAGGGGGATCGTTTTATAAACTATATAAATGTCTAACCAATGTACTGTATACTTAAAACTAATAAATTTAAAAAACAAAACAAAAAACCCCCAAAACAAAAACCTACTTTCTTCTTCCTTAAGTAAGAAAACAATAATCTTAAAATTAGCTCAAGGGGTAACTAAAATAATCAATTTAAAATACTATATAAGTCCTAAAGCTTAGCAATGTTCTAGAGATGCTACAGCTTTTATATGCAAACACACATAACATTTTTACGTTATAGAAAAGCTAATGAATTAAATATGCATTAAAAAACAGAAATTTTAAAGAATCATTAGGGCCGGGGGTACCACAGATCCATGCCTCAGAGGAAGCAGTCTGAGTGACCCTCCAAGGCCACACAACAGTCGAGCTAGCTGTAGAACCCGGGGCACTAGACAGCAAGAGGGGCTCTCTGCATAACATGAACAGCCCTTACAACGATTCTCAGTCTACTGTCAAAAATACCATTTTACCCAACGGAGACTAGCACTTAATTTTACACAGTCTAGTCCTAGTGTCAGCGATCCTTACCTGGAAGATGTGGGTTTCCACCACAATTTTCCTTGAGTGAAAGGGTTATAACATAGGGCCTCAGAGCCCTGGGATGAGGTAGGAGGAAAATGAAACTGGAATAGTGACTTGAAGGAAACATATTATGAAAAGTTTTCGGAAAAGACATTATGATATAGCAGCAGAAAGAGGAATAAACTCGAGCCAGTGACCTAGTTCCTGATCTCTCCCTAGTCCGTCACTGCCCTCAGGGAAGGCCACTGCGTCTATAATATGTACAGAGCATAGTCCCAGAGCTGCTCAGGGAGGATAAACCAAAAGATATGAATGTGTGATTTATACTCCTGTCTCCTCAAAACCCATTTTCTGATTCTTCTTCAGGAACAGAATTCTAATTTTATTTGGGATGATAATGCTTCTTGCTAAAAATACTACATTTCCAACATCCTTTGCAGACAAATGTGGCTAGAAATGTGATATGGGACTTCTGGAAAGGAGTTCAAAAGGAATTGTCTAAACTGGGAGGTGGAACCTTTTGCACTTCTGCCCTACTTTCTTCCTGCGGAATGGAATGTTGATGTGATGGCTGAAACTCCAGTTATCGTGGACAGTAAGGTATCCTTGAGAATGAAAGACACAGACCCAGAAGTACTGCAGAAAGGTCGACGGAGGCAGTTTCCTGATGACCTTGGAGTCAGATACCACCTGGTCTGCCTACCTCCAGACTTCTTTCATGTGAAAAAGGCAAACTTCTATTTTGCTTATAGTCACTGTTATTTTGGTTTTTGTTACTAGTAACTATACATAATTCTTAACTACAAAATCTTTTATGTTCTAAGTATAAAGAATTTGGTAAATATTATGCAATCAACCAGAACAAATCCAGGAAGCTGAGAAGTTGAGACATACGAATGCAAATGAGAAAGACGCTTAGTCATTTTTAGGTAGCATCAACATTGGGCTTCTTCTCTGAGCAATACCTATTCAAATTAGACCATCTTTATGATATTTTCCAACAAAAAATTATTTGGTTTGATGCCTCTGTCATTTGGTTCTGTAATATTTCAACATTTAAATGATTAATCAATCATAAGAAGTTTAAAACACATTCTTACCTTATTAGCTTCCTCCTCCATCATTGCATTTAATACTTCTACTTCTTTCCTTCTGTTTTTCCGAAGGATTTTGGCCATTTCCTGGTAACGTTCGTGTCGTTGTAAATCATCAGATCTTTGTTTATGTAAAGCTTGAATTCGCCAGTCAGTATTTAGACATGCTTGTTCAGCTTTTGCCAAGTTCTCTTCAATTAACTAAGAAAAATTGTAAATTTCAGTAATAAGGTCACACTATGTGTAATTACGATTTACCCTCTTAATGTCTCCAAGTGTCTAGGGCGGCTGTTCATAACCCTAGGTGCATATTACAATCATCTCGGAGTGCTTAGAACAAGCTGATGTCCAGATCCCACCACAAACCAATCCATCCAATCTCTGGGGTGGCTGGAGAGTGGCACTTTTAGGAAGCCCTTCATGTGATTTGAATGTACAGCCATGGCTGCGAACATCTGTGTTAAGGGACAGGCGGGATTAAACAATTTCCACATTCGACCCTTTGAAGAGGAGTCAGAAGAGCCCACTCTTACAGACTAGAAAAGTCTTTAAGGAAAAAGAGACAGGTAGGATATTCCGGGGGCATCAGCCAAGGAACTGCTGCAGAGCTGGATGTGGGGAACTCTTATACCGGTCCTGGTTCTGGACCGGGGCTCGGCCCTGCCGTAGACCCACTTAACATGCTGGGCAAGGGATGATAGAAAAAGTTCTTTCTTGAAGGTCTCAAATCCTATTTCATTCATTTAAGGCAGAATTTCTCCACGAGAAATTGTATAAAATAAGTTTGGGAATTTTTCTCAAAGATTCATAATGGACCATATCCTCAAATTTGGCATGGAAAAAACCTAACTGTAACACAGCATTTCTAATTCTTGTCATCTCCCATTTTATTGAATAACAGTTATTAATATTTTAGAGACTACACTTTGAAAATGCTGGCTTATATGCCAGACAGAAGCCTGATATTTAAAACTAATTTACTTAGGGGCAATTTCTGAGACATAACACAGTAAGATACTACAATTTATAAAGTTACTATTTCCTTTGCATTTTCTTCTAAGTCTTAAAATTCTCAAAAAGTATAAAAGACACACGTATATGGATGTCAATGAAGTAAGTCACTTGTAAATACATAATGTGAGATTCTAGGAACTGTGAGAACCGAAGCAAAGAAATGAATTAACTCGACTTTGTAGTTTAATTTTGAATTCCTTCTTTTAAAAGATGACAGAAGGAAATTTCCCCCTCATATGTACACTAAATTTACCATATTTTTACCTTCTGAGTTTTTTGGTTCTGAGTTTCATCTGTTTCTAACAGTCTATGAAATGTGTGTTCTTCAAGATCCACTTTTCGTCGATAGGCGTCTGCATCTTCTCTCATTTCTTTTGCAACAGCTTCTTGATTTCTAGTAAAATTCTGTTTAAAAAAAATCACTGGTCTATGTAATAATGCTAGAACACAAAAATGACTTTTCTTTTCCCCCAGAATACTAATATGCATACAAATAAAAACCGTAAATCATCTAATTTTCAAAGTATAAAATCGAACATCAGTGACATTGGTGAAAATAAGAGAATCTGAAAATTCTCTCCTCCATAAAACATTGAGAATCCTGGCAAAACCAACTTTTTCAGAACTCTGGAAATTAACTGAAGGCTTGTAGCAATCTGGGGGTGGGGGGCATTTATTCATAAAATGGCTGAATCCTGGTTAAGAACAGCCAGCTTTACAGCATTTTTAATCTGCATTATTCCTATTCTACCTCACCCTTAAGGTCTGCATTAGTCTTGAACATTAGTAGCCTGGCAACCAATGGAGGGGCAAAATGCGGCTGGTGCTTTTTCAAAGTCCTGTTCCCAGAGAACTGTCAAATGATCTAGTAGTTCTGGAGGACTCTACTCCCAAGACTGTCTTTCTGTGACCTGACTCAGAACTTACCTACTTCCAAATGCCTTTTCCCTGGGGACATTTGCTGAAAACAATCAGAGGAAACCATTGAATATACTGGCTGCCAGAGGCAGTGGATCCAGAACAAACAATAGGCTAATCATAAAGCTTTATGGAGAAAGCTGGGGAATTAGATGTCTACAGGGGTCTCTGAAAAACTCTCATAGATTCCTAGGGCTCTAGAAGGCCATGTGTATGGCCATGCACATGCTAAGGCCATGTGTACGGCTGTGCACATGCTAAGGACTGTCTGAATGCTTAGACTTGAGAATATCCTGAACTCTCGACTGCGGTGAAATGAGGTTTTGCAAAATCGAGTGTTGAAGGCATGCCCCGACAGCATGCACACAGAACCCCTGACAAAGACTAGAGGTTGAAGGCATCTAAGGAAATCTCTGTCCAATCACTAAGCTACCTAAATAGAGACTTCAGTGGCTACAAATGACAAAGACTAGAGATTTTACAGAATTAATTCAGAAAAGTCACTAAGCAAAGAAACAACAAGAAACCCTGGGGAAGGAGAAGAATCTGATTTGTTATATTATGTTATTTAAAATGTCTAGTTTTTACCAAAATATTACATGACATATTAAAAACCAAGAAAATATGGCTCAGGAAAACACTTTGAATAGACATTAACCACATGATCTCCAAAGAAGATATAAAAATGGCCAATGAATATATGACATTATTAGTCATAAGGGAAATGCAGATCAAAACCACTTCACACCCACTAGCACGGCTACAATCAAAAGGACAGGCAGTAACAATTGTTCACGAGAATGTAGAGAAATTGGGAGTCTATACTCCTGGGCACATATCTAAGAGAAATGAAAACATGTGTCTAAACAAAAAGCTGCATATGAACGTTCATAGCAGCACTACTCATGATAGCCAAAAAATGAAAACAACCCAAATATCCACCAACTGATGAATGGATATTGTCCATGCGTACAATGGAATATTTATTATTCAGCCAAAAAATAAAAAAGCACTCACTCCAGCTACGACATGGATGAACCTTGAAAACATCATGCTAAATGAAAGAAACTAGTCACAAAAGGCCACGTGTTGTATGATTTCATTTACATGAAATGTCCAGAATAGGCAAATCCATAGAGACAGAGTAAACCAGTAGTTGGCAGGGGCAAGGGAGTGGGGCGTGCCAGTGGGCATAGTGCTTGGGGGGCAGATAGCAAACAGTATCCATGAAGATTTAAGTTAAAGAGGAAAAATACCAACTGCATGTACCAAAGAATCTCACTCATCCTTACCGATGATACCAGCAGTTATGTCCTATTTATTGCCGAAGTGAGCACCAGCAGCTATTTCCTGAGGGATTTTTTCTGCTTTTCTAACTATTACTGGGGCCTAATTATCTTTATAACTAGTTAAAAATAAAAGTGTTTTCAGTTATATGTAGAGCTAATATATGTGTGAAGGAGTTTACTGCCAAAAATTGTAAACCACTTAAACATCCAAGAAGAGAAAAAAGGTTAACTTACGGTTCATCGTTAGTCATTACAAATGACAACCAGGAAGGCATGTAGACATTTAGAAAAAAGGATTTTATTAAGTGAAAAAGAAAAATAGAATATAGAATTTTAGCTACGCCATAAAGAGGTAAAACAAGGTATGTGTAGAGATTAAGGAGGAAAACAACGGAAATCTAAACAGGGTAGAGGGATGAAGCCAGGGTGGTGGCTTGAAGAAGCAGACTGGGGAAAGAAGCCATCAATTCATTTTGTAAAATGACAACATTTTAGGCCAAGGGGGAAGGAGGGAAACTAATAACTATGTAGTGCCACATATCAGACGCTGTGCGGTAAAGGGTTACCGCAGTAGCCTGGGTTAACCAAATCCTGCACCTTCCAAAGATTAGCCCTTGACTAGCTAAGCCCTTGGAATATCCTGCCTGATAAGCATGTCTCTGTATAGCTGGGGCCTTGGGCCATGCCTGATAGCTTATGCTTATGCCAACAATGTGATTTATGGCGGGAGCCCTGGGCCACACTATATCACTATGACTTCTGTCCGTAAGAAACAAAGGTCAGCCACACGCACGTTCCATGCCCACAGGATCAACGCCCCAGTAAAACCCTGGACACCAAGCTCAGGTGAGCTTGCCTGCTTGGCAATACTCTATATGTGTTGTCATACATCTTCGCTGGCAAAATTAAGAACTATTTGTATGACTCCACTGGGAGAGGACAAGTGGTCTCTACTGGACTCCATCCTATGTGCCTTTAACCTTTGCTGAGTTTAATCTGTATCCTTCCACTGTAATAAACCATAACCATGAGTTTAACAGTTTTCTGAGTTCTGTAAGTCCTTTCAGCAAATCATTGAACGTGACAGTAGTCCTGGGGATTCCTGACACAGAAATATACATTATTAACTCATTTAATCCTCACGGCAATCTTTGCAAAGCTGGCACTATGCCACGCAGAAGGATCACGTGCGTGAGAGACAGAGACAAAGACAAGGACAGAGAGACAAAAAATACTAGATCATAGGTCAGTATTTGCTTGTTTGTGCTTACTTTAAATCTTTTGTTAAAAAAAAAAATTGTTTTCAAAGTAGATACATTTGAAACATTGAGCTCATATTTCCAAGAGAGGTAATCCCAATATTGTTTGTTTCCTGGGATATAAGTTGTTTAGAAACAGACACATTTAATCAACCTAATGTAAGATGTATTTGGCAGATGAAGTGTTAATCAATCACTAATGTGAATTTGAAAAAGGCGGTAAGAGCATAACTGTCTCTAACTGACCAGAAAAAAGTTCATGACTTTGTAAGTTAGTTTTATTTAACAGGGTAAGTCTTCTCTAACTCTATGGGTTTGCTTAAATAAATACTTCCTTCGAAAGAGCAAAAATGATATGATACATGGAAAGAAACAGCATC